CAGTATATTTAGTGTCATTGACCGAATATGAAGAATTATAGGCCTATCATTTTTTTTTATATTTCGCAGAAATTCCAAATGCGCTTACATCGGATATATACAATGAGAATGAATCACTGAAAGCTAACAGACTAAACTGCAATGGGGAAATAATTTATTGGGCAGAAAACGGCTTAGTTCATAGACTTAAATATAGTTAATGTAAAGTAAATTACATTCAAGGCCCCTATATATACATACCCGTAGAGTATGCGAATATTTGCATTGATGTATGTGTACAAGAACGGATAGGGTGGATTAAGCACCAAACTGATAAACATGCATAACGAGTCAAAGATCTTATAAGATCTTTAATACGAGTGATGTGTCTAGAAGAGGGCTCAATTCTCTCATATCAATACAAAGAGGACGTCCCGCACATGTGTGCACACAGTCACCAAATCATTCATCAGATAGAAATAGGCCTATCAACCAAAAAAAAAAAACAAACAAACAAACAAACAAAAACAAAAATAAAAAAAGTGCGTTTAAAAGTCTTCTGGCAACACTTTGAAGTGCATTACAATCAATTCAAGTAGAAAAACAAAATATTTCAAATAAAATGTATACGGTATTGTATTAAATTGATTTCAGTAATGTCAAGCTGGATTTGATTTTCACGCAGGTGGGAATACAGAAAAACAAAAATTGGAATGGAATGAATTAATATAGAATAAATTATTATATTATGATTTATAATCATAATTACTTCTGCACCTGACCATTTACTTTGGTGGTGCGGGGGAGGGGACTAATTTTCCATAGATGTAAGATGTGGATTTTGGGGCCTAAATTGAAAGATGCCGAAATCCCAGTGAGACAAGTATTCTTGTACATTATAAGTTTAATTTAAAAATCTCATCATATGGATCGCAAGAGACATTCATTAATAAATAAAGAATACAGGTATTTCGAATTTTTGACAACAATTTTGACCAGAAGGCTAGAAATGTGCGTTTTTACTTTCATTAACATTCAAATTCCGAGTGCAATCAATGCTAGACTTGAAAGCTAAATCGGAAAAAAGTGCAAAAATATCACTAAATTCTTTGCTTGAGGCAAATCAAGCGATGCAACTCTGCAAAAAATAACGATACATCAACACATTATTATCCTGTTACTGTTCCATAAATCTCTACGTCTGGACAGGTATTGATTGAATATGTTACCAATGCAAGGTCATTACTGGTTCCAAAGATCGAGTAGGGTATGTGAAAATCGAATTCTGCTTTTATTTTGATCGTCAAAATTGCATATTTATATAACGGTATGAAGCTCGCCGAAAAAAAAAGCGAGGGATTGCAGGTTGGATTCTCACAAGAGACCTCTTTCTTTCAAGTAACTAATAAGGAACTTTCGTTGATGAACTGTTTGATACGATTTATATTGATCACTTTTGAGCACCGTTATCGGTTACTTCTAAACAAACTTTCAGACATTGCTTAAGTTGACTTGTTTTCACATGAATTGTTTACACCCTCCCCCCACGCTATGCTTCTGTCTTTCTCTCCTTATTCCTTTTTTTCTTTTAGATTTCTGCCCTTCTCTTATAGCGTTTTTGCTGCTGAGAAGTAACGTAATTTAAGTGATAATGGCTGGCCTAGCCAATTGAGACTTCTCCTTTTAATGTTTTCCTTTTACATTTTTGTATCTGGTCTCATATAAACACGTTCGTAATGTTGGACCTACTCCGTTTTTGAATCTCGTGTGAATCAATCTTAGTAGTTTTAAAGACATTATCTGAAGAAAGGGGCAAGAGAAGCCCGTCAATAAATTAAAAAAGCTTTGAATTTTTTATTTAAAAGCATTAAAGTTATGAACCTCTAATACGAAACGGATAAACAAAATCCTTGTTTGCAGACTTATAAACGTTTGACTACGAAAATATTTACACGAGAAAATTTAGGGGTCTATGGAAAGAACAGGAAAAGGTAATGCTGCGTCTCATTGTGAGAAAAATATTTTCTCATTACAATTTTAAATGTAATGCCGCAGCTTCAGTTTTGCAAAGTCAGCAATTAAAATATTGAAATTTTAATTTTTCAAGTTCAGAAGTTAAAGACATATAGTTTACATTTAACAGACATGTTATACACATTAGATCATCAATTACAGTTTTCTTTTTTTATTAAATGCAATCAGCCTGTCGGCAGTATAGTGTTTTGATGAAACTGCCATTTATTAGTACAGTTGGCTACACATTGCTACGCTGATCTGCAAAAGTCTACAAAGCTATTTTTGTGTTGTTTACTGAATTCAAAAGTGTGTATT